TGAAGGGAGGCAGAACAAGGAGCAATGGTTTCAAGTTACAGTGAGGAAAGTCTAGGTTGGATATTAGTAAAATCTATTTCACTACGAGGGTGGTGAAGCACTGGGATGGGTTCCCTAGGGAGGGGGTGGAATCTCCATCCCTTGAGGTTTTTAAGTCTCATCTTGACAAAGCCCTGGCTAGGATGAGTTAGTTGGGGTTAGTCCTGCCTTGGGCAGAGGGCTGGACTCGATGATTGAGAAGTCTTCAAAGCCAAATCTTCTATTAATCTGTGATTTCATTGGGCCTCTTAATTTACCAGGTGTTTTCAGGTATTTCTATCACTTAATTCTGTTCTTAATAGCTACCTACCCCTCTCCTTTGCATTGCAGCTGCTCCACATGCTGAGAGACAGACTGTTATTTCAGCAAATTAAGCAAACTTCTTTCTCTTTAGCTCCCAGTACAAAAAAGTGGGAGTGCCCCTGAAATCCTTCCAACTTAGTGCTGGCTAGGAAAGTGGTGTTCAGTGTTAGCTCTGCTTCTCCTTTACCTTCTCTCCTTCACCAACCCCTAATGCTTTGTCTATGGTACAAGATTTTTGGGGAAGAGAGCATGCTAGTGAGGGACTCATTTGCATGAGTCATGATGTCATTAGCATATTTTCTGCTGAAGCTTTTTGTGCGAGGGGTTTTTGTGCAAAAAGAAGCAGTGTAGCTGCTTCCATTTTGTGCAAAACAACCCTTTTACGCAAGATCTTTATGCCTCTCAGGGAGAGGAGCTTGTACAAAAGGGTGGGTTTTTTGCTCCAAACAGAAGCAGCTACACTGCTTATCTTTGCACAAAATCCACTTGTGCAAAAATCATCGGCAGAAAATATGCTAATGACATTGTGACACATGCTAAGAGTCCCTCATTAGCATACTGTCTGCCGCAAAATCTTATAGCGTAGACATAGCCTAAAAGAATACTGGCAGTGAAGATTCCCCCACTAAAAGCCCCACAGGTCTGTCCAGGATGAAAAGGCTTGGAGAGTCTATTATACCCTTTGCACTTGGCAGCAGTTCATCCAGGGGTGGGCAATAATTTTTGATGGAGGCCATGCTAAAATTTTGGTAAATGGTCAAGGGGTGCAATTTTCTATAGAGGAAGTGAAAGGCATGGGACAGAGTTTGGGTGTGGAATGGAGCTTGAGGTCTGGGACTGGGGTGCATGAAAGGCTGTGGAGGTGAAGGGAGGAGTTGTGACCTGGGTTGGAGGATTGGGGTGCAGGTTCCAGGAGGTGGTATGGGCGCAGAAGAGGATTCTGACCTGGTAGAGGGTAACCATCAAATGAGAGTTCTGATGATTGGGTTGGGGGCAGAGGCAGCATGCAAAGTCCCCCAGTACTTGTCATAGAGATGCACATAGAGCAGCCAGGTTTAGTGGCCTGGTGCTGTGGCGGGCTGGGAACCTGCTTGAGGGTTCTGGAAGGGTGTATCTTGCCTACCCCTGAGTTAATGTCATCTCTTTCCAGGATCTCAAAGGAGGGTGGAGAAAAGACAATTAACAGATGTATCAAACTTTCAGCAGAAGATAGAGGGAACAAGTCTTGATGTTAAAATGACAGCCTTTTTAGTAATTTACATTTCCAATGCATTAAATGTTTTCTTTTCTGTTCTTTATCTTTAATAAAAGGTTTTCAACGATGGCTTGGCCAAGGGACTAAGCAAGCTGTGATCTCTGTACACCAAAATCCACATCTTGTTATAACGGTTAATGTTGTATTATGACTGTGTTTTGTTGTCCTATTGATTCCAACTGAATTAATTATGCACAGACAACGAGCAATAAGCCTCTGCAGCACTATGGCCTATTTTGAAAGGTTAGGTGGCACTGAAGTGAGAAATAACCCATTGCATAGAGAATACATTCACTCAGTGTGAGCATGGATACTTTGGTAGCATTGCTCTCTTTATCACAGCAAATGTTATTAAAATAATATTCTAACAACAGTCTTTCAGTTCCCATGTGTCTAACCTTGAGAGTTCATCTCTATTTATCTTTATTTTCCAACATGGAACTGAATTAACTTTTATATTTGAAGAATCAATGTACTTACCTAGTTCTACTTGTTTATCTACAAAAGGGAAAAAATTATTTGTTTACACACATTATGAATTTGAGTTATGTTAGCTAGCAGATATTATGCCTTTCCTCAAAAGATTATAATCTGACACCCCTTGCAAACTCTATTGCAAAAGACTTGTGATCAGATTAATTTACCTACTGTAAATTAATACTCCTTATAGTGAACCATAAAATCTGTCACTAAAATAGAGGAAATCCAGGGCATTGTCATTGCTTTAGAGATGCAACACATTGCCTTTATCTGTAATTTAAACACATTCCAAGAGATGAATTAAAAGATTGTTAGGAAAAATATTTGTGCTCCATACTCCTTATAGTGAACCTGTCCTAGCTCTTTATACATGATTAGCCAATTTCATCAGTTAAATAGAATCAGAAGGAACCAATTAAAAGTTATTTTTTCTGCCTTGATAGTTGTCTTCTAGTGCAGCTACATGTGTGTGTGTTTGTAAATATTACAAATCAAAAGTCTTGAAGACCTACTAATCTGAAGCACACCATATATTTCACTGTCACACACTGCCAATTTCTGTCTCAGTGCCCAACCAGACCCATTTTACAGCCATGACAAACTTTTGACAAATATTTCATGCCACAAATAGGAAATACCAAGCCTTCTCCCAGCATTAGAAACTTTTCAGACATCTTGTCTTCCCATGTTTGCTGAGTTTACAATCCATCACACCCATCTGCCAGTTACTATTCATTGACACACTTACAAACATCAATCTCTCTTGTATTCATAGTACTTGTTCTCCAGAACATCTCCCTCAAATATTACCCAACCAAGCAGGCATCCTTCAAGCTACAGAATCAATAGTGCTTCACCCTGTACTTCTGGTTCTGTCTCCATAGTGTACATAAATAATGTAATGTGCAGAACCAAGACAAAGTTAGGTATTTAGAAAAGTATTTTAAGTACATTTCTAGAGTGAAAAGTAATAGTACTTCCAATTATATATTCCTGAATTCCAAGGCCAGAAAGAAGCATTTAATTTGGGCTCCTGTATGACACAGACAAAAGAACATTATCAAAATAATTCCTAGAGCAATACTTCTAGAAAAACATCTGGTCTTGATTTTTAAAATGGTTAGGGATGGACAATGTACCACCACCTTAGATAAATTGTTATATAATTACTCTCACTGTTAATAGTGTATGTCTTATTTCCAGTCTGAATTTGTGTAGCTGCATCTTTTAGGCATTCACAGTGCAATGTTGAATGTCTGTTAGTGGGAAAAATGCTGATCCATCAAAAGCAAAACTGAGAAATAGTATTCTGTTAATTGAAACAGTGAATTGGAGAACTTGTAAAAAGTTCTGAGATTTTAAAACCATCTCATTTCAGCATGTTTATAATGGAAAATGTTCAACTCATAAGACTTTAAGAAATTTTAGAAAATGTTTTTATAAATTGTTTTTAAAAAGAAAACCGATATCTTAACCCCCCAGATCTGCAAAGGGTGTGGAGAGGAGGCAACTGTCAGATATAGCAAAAATATCAGAAAAGATAGATACATTGTCAGCAAGGCTACGTCTACTCTGCACTGTAGATCAAAATAAGATACACAATTTGAGCTACGCAGTGTGTGAGTTTGAACAAAATTACTTTCTAAATTTAGCAAAATAATACACCAGGCTAGTTTGAAAATTAGCAGCACAGAAAATGGATTTGCTCTGGTGAAAGCTCAATACACCTATAAAGCACGTTTCTCCCCTGCAGTGGCAGATATATTCAACTGGCTCACACAGTAGCCATTGGACTACTCCTTTCCCTTCTTTCCATATAACAGACTTATTGGAGACCTTACCTTCTTTATCATGCTTCTCTTTCCCACCTATATAAAGAGAAAGAAAAAGAGAACATGTCTCATTGGTTATACAGAAGTATTTGTCCTCTTTATGCCCACACATGGTTCCTGAACTTGAACCATGTATAAAAGGGGGTGTCTCTGTCTGCCACGTTATGTCTAGATTGCAGGCTTCTTTCAAAAGATGTTTCTCCAGAAGAGATCTTTTGAAAAATACTTCTTCTGAAAGAGAGCATTTACACAGCAAAAACGCATTGAAAAAGCGATCTGCTTTTTTGAAAGATAGTGTCCACACTGTGATTATAATGGGCGGAGTGGCCACCAGGGCACCTGTGCTTTTTCCTCTTTCCTCTTCTTTCAAAGGAACTACCACTTCCCCATCCACACATGTCTTTTTGCAAAAGTGCTCTTTGGGGAAAAGGCTTTTTTACTTATAGAAAGAGATTTACCAATGTTGGATAAACCCCTCCGTTCTTTCCATGTTTTTTCTCGAAAGAATGCAATTGCAGTGTGGACATCACTGAAGGGGTTTTTTTTTTTGGGGGGGGGGGGATAAACAGCCTTTTTTCAACCTCCCAAGCTCCTGCAATGTAGATATACCCTCAGTGTCTTTCCACTAAGGAGAGTATGGGAAGTGGCAGAGACCTACTCTGAGAGAGTTTTTAGAGGAAGTTCCTTGCAGACATGGAGTGAAAACAGATTTCTGTTGAATTGGTGCTTATTTTGGACAGACAGAAAATAGAGGGGAAAAAACAAATACACAATATATATTGAGGAGGAATGTATTCAGAATTCCTTTTTTGCTGTGATAGTTATTTCTTACTGTAGCTTCTTTGAGTGGCACAAAGGGGCTGTCCCCTAGCTTCCCATTTGCTAACCAAGTTTATTTTTTTTCTCTCTGCCCGTGACTTTTTTTAAATTCCAAAGCAGAATAGCTGCATCAGGATAAATTTTAAGAGCACCATGTCAGACTGTCCTTTAGCACAGTAGTTACCAGCACTCACCTGGAGTACCCCAGGTGACTCCTGGAGTACCCCAGTTGTGAGAGCTTGACAGACTATGCTGGATGATGGTTTTCTGAGAGTGTGGCCTAGCCACACTCTAGATTTGACCATCAAGTGGTTCTTGTCCTACTCTGTTCCAAAGCTCCACATTTGTGACAATGTCTTGCCATTTGATGTGAAGGATGTACCTCAGGCATCTGTTTATGGATGTCTGTAGCTTGTCATTTGAAGACTTTTTTAGTTCACCAGGTCTTGCATCCATACAAGAGCACTCTCTTCACATTTGTGTTGAAGATCCACAGTTTCATCTTTGCAGATATTATTTGTGAACTCCATATGGAACAAAGAGTCTTGAATGCAGCTGTTGCTTTCTCTATCCGAGCACTGATAACCTTGTCTGTTTCTCTGTCTCTGCCCATAATACTCCCCAAGAAGGTGAACTGCTCCACATCTTCCAGGTCTTCCCTTCCCAGTGTGGTGATGGTGGTGTTGCATGGGTTGATCCTCATTGTCTTGGTATTTCCCTTGTTAATGCTCAGTCTCATCATTGATGCAGTTTTGTCGAGTGTTGCGACTTTTTCTTCTATGCTTTCATGTTGGTGTAAAAGGAGGGCGACATCATCAGCAAAATCAATGTCCTCTAGCTATTTGAAAGGTGTCCACTTCATGCCTCATTGATGGCCATCGGCTGTCCTGCTCATAATCCAGTCCATTGTGATCAAGAACAGGAAAGATGACAATAGGCACTCTTGTCACTCTCTTGAGAGTATGCCAAAGGATTCTATCAAGTCACCATTGTGAACAACTTGTCATGTCAAGGGTTTGTACATTGAACGGATCAGGTTAATAATTTTGGATTGGATGCCACGGTGTTGGAACAGTTTCCACAAAGTGTCTATCAATGCTGTCAAAGGCTTTTTCAAAGTCTATGAAGGTTATGTACAGGGGGAGTTCCACTCAAGTGACTGTTCTATGATCATTCTGAGAGTTGCTATTTGATCAGTACAAAATCTCTTGCTCCAGAAGATGCCTTGTTCTTCCCTGAGCTGTCTATCAATTTCTGTCTTCATTCTTTCCAAGAGAATCGTATTGAACACTTTTCCTGGAATAGACAGTAACGTGATGCCCCTCCAGTTCTTGAATTCCTTCAGGTTGCCTTTCTTTAGAAGCTTGCTAAGGTAGCCATGTTTCCAGTCTTGTGGGATCTCCTCAGTGTCCCAAATTTTCCCAAATAGATTATACATCATGTTGACTCATGACTCACTACCTGCCTTGATTGCTTCAGTGGGGATATTGTCTGGACTGGATGCTTTCCCACTTTTCAGATAGGCAATGGCTTTTCTGATTTCTTCTTTTGTAGGTCTGCTGCTGTTAATGTATAGAGGTATATTTACAGGTGGTAACTCTGGAGGTTCCACGTGGACAGGGTGGTTCAGTAGCTCTTCAAAGTGTTCCTTCAATCTACTGAGCTGCTCATTTGGGTTCAGTAGCACACGTCTTTCCGTAACCTGTACTGGCTTTCCGTAACACTGTATGCCGTGACCCAGCTAGCTTCTGTGTGATGTCATACTGCTCTTCCAAGTCTCTCCATCCTGCATCTTGTTCCACTTGTTGTGCAAGGTTTTCCACAAAGTTCTTCTTGTCCCATTTTACAGCCTTTTAAACTTCTCTGTTGGCTTCCAAATATAGTTTGAGCTTCCACCTGGGCTGCTCTTGTTTTCCTATTGTTAATTGTTGCTTTTCTGTCCTTTCGTTCCGTCGCTTTTCTCAGAGTTTCTGCTGTGATCTATTCTTTGTGATGCCTTGTCCTCTTTCCTAATGTTTTATCCTGGGTCTTTTTCCAGGCTGTTTTAGCGTGTTCCTAAATTTGTTCCATGGGAGCATCTTCCAGGGTAAGGTTTGTCAGAAATGCATATCTGTTGGACAGCTCCACTTAGAAACCAACTCTTGTCTCTAAATCCTTCAGCTTCCCCGTATTGAATCTCAATCCTGGCTTGGTCACTTTTGTGGTGTACCTCTTGAGTTTGAACTTGAGTTTTATCGTGACCAGATGAAGATCTGAACCTACATCTGCTCCTCTTCTTGCATGGACATCCTGCATTGATCTTCTGAAAGAAGAGCATCTAAATAGCTACACAATTTTTTTTTAGAGCTGTGATTTTATAATCTTCAGCCACAAAACAATGAAATATTTAAAGCAAATTTAAACTAAGGTCCTGTAGTCCTAGTAATGCACAACTGGCATTTTCAATACATTCTATGCCTGTTAAATTATTTCATTTTGGCTCTTTCATAGATTCAGTGCTCTCCTAATAGGTCTGGCAAGCAGGAAGGCTGTTCACTTTTAAGGTAACAGATCCACTTTGGGGGAGGAGTCACAAGTCTGCAAGCTGCAACAGTCTGCTGTAAGAGACTTCACGAACCATCAGAATAGAGATAGGAAGAGAGACATAGTTGAGCACTAATACCCAGTGGAGGCATTGCCTGTCTTTGCCTCTTATATCCACTACACATAATTATAAATACATTAGAAGCAAGAGGAAGACAAAGGACAGAGTAAGCCCACTGGTCAGTGAGGAGGGAGAAACAGTAACGGGAAACTTGGAAATGGCAGAGGTGCTTAATGACTTCTTTGTTTCGGTCTTCTCCAAGAAGTCTGATGAAGGAATGCCTAACATAGTGAATGCTAGCGGGAAGGGGGTAGGTTTAGAAGATAAAATAAAAAAAGAACAAGTTAAAAATCACCTAGAAAAGTTAGATGCCTGCAAGTCACCAGGGCCTGATGAAATGCATCCTAGAACACTCAAGGAGCTATTAGAGGAGGTATCTGAGCCTCTAGCTATCATCCTTTGAAAATCATAGGAGACAGGCGAGATTCCAGAAGACTGGAAAAGGGCAAATATAGTGCCCATTTATAAAAAGGGAAATAAGAACAATCCAGGAAACTACAGACCAGTTAGTTTTACTTCTGTGCCTGGGAAGATAATGGAGCAAGTAATTAAGGAAATCATCTATAAACACTTGGAAGATGGCAAGGTGATAGGGAACAGCCAGGATGGATTTGTAAAGAACAAATCATGTCAAACCAATCTGATAGCTTTCTTTGATAGGATAACCAGTCTTATGAATAAGGGAGACATGGATGTGGTATGCTTAGACTTTAGTAAGGTGTTTGATACAGTCTCTCATGATATTCTTATCCATAAACTAGGCAAATACAACTTAAATGGGGCTACTATAAGGTGGGTGCATACCTGGCTGGATAACCGTACTCAGAGAGTAGTTATTAATGACTCACAATCCCGCTGGAAAGGCATAACTAGTGGGGTTCCGCAGGGGTCTGTTTTGGGACAGGCTCTGTTCAATATCTTCATTAATGATTTAGATATTGGTATAGAAAGTACGCTTATTAAGTTTGTAGATGATACCAAGCTGGGAGGGGTTGTGACTAATCTGGAGGATAGGGCCATAATTCAAAATAATCTGGACAAATTGGAGAAATGGTCTGAGGTAAACAGGATAAAGTTTACTAAAGACAAATGCAAAGTACTCCACTTAAGAAGGAACAATCAGTTTAACACATACAGAATGGGAAGTGACTGTTTAGGAAGGAGTACAGCAGAAAGGGATCTAGGGATTATAGTGGACCACAAGCTGAATATGAGTCAGCAGTGTGATGCTGTTGCAAAAAAAGCAAACATGATTCTGGGATGCATTAAGAGGTGCGTTGTGAGCAAGACACGAGAAGTCATCCCTCCGCTCTACTACGCGCTACTTAGGCCTCAGTTGGAGTACTGTATGCAGTTCTGGGCACCGCATTTCAAGAAAGATATGGAGAAATTGAAGAGGGTCCAGAGAGGAGCAAAAAGAATGATTAAAGGTCTAGAGAACATGACCTATGAACTAGGAAGGCTAATGAGGGCAACTGAAATTGCTAATGAAGCACGGGATTTAAATATCCCATGCTTGATTAGCATATTCCCGGCCGGTCACCATTTTGGAAACTGAGTAGCCCGAAGTAACTGCTTGACCTTCTGCTCACAAACAGAGAGGAACTAAAAGGGGAAGTAGAGGTGGGTGACAACCTGGGAAGCAGTGATCATGAGATGGTAGATTTCAGGATCCTGACCAAAGGAAGAAAAGAGACTAGTAAAATACACACCTTGGACTTCAGAAAAGCAGATTTTGAGTTCCTCAGGCACCTGATGGGCTTGTAGCCAAGAAGGCTAATGGCATATTAGGTTGCATTAAGAGGAGCATTGCCAGCAGATCCAGAGATGTCATTATTCCCCTTTATTCATCTCTCGTGAGGCCACATCTGGGGTATTGTGTCTAGTTCTGGGGACCCCACTATAGAAAGGATGTGGATGCATTGGAGAGGGTCCAGCAGAGAGCAACCAAAATGATTAGGTGGCTGGAGCATCTGACTTATGAGGAGAGGCTGAGGGAGTTGGGTCTATTTAGTCTGCAGAAGTGAAGGGTGAAGGGGGACTGAATAGCAGCCTTCAACTTCCTGAAGGGAGGTTCCAAAGACAATGGAGAAAGGCTGTTCTCAGTGGTGACAGATGGCAGAACAATGAGTAGTGGTCTCAAGTTGGGGTGGGAGAGGTCCAGGTTGGATATTAGGAAAAAGTATTTCACTAGAAGAGTGGTGAAGCACTGGAATGGGTTACCTAGGGAAGTAGTGGAGTCTCCATTCCTAGAGGGCTGTGTCTACACTGGGCCACTTATTCCGGAAAAGCAGCCGCTTTTCTGGAATAAGCTGCCAGCTGTCTACACTGGCCCCTTGAATTTCCGGAAAAGCACTGACGATTTACTGTAAAATTGTCAGTTTTTTTCTAGAAAAACTATGCTGCTCCTGCTTGGGCAAAAGTCCTTTTTTCGGAAAACTGTTCTGGAAAAGGGCCAGTGTAGACAGCACAGTAATCTTTTCTGGAAAAAAAAGCCCCGATTGCGAAAATGACGATCGGGGCTTTTTTCCGGAAAAGCGCGTCTACATTGGCCATGGACGCTTTTCTGGAAAAAGGGCTTTTCCGGAAAAGCATCGTGCCAATGTAGACACTCTTTTTCCGGAAATACTTAAAACGGAAAACTGTTCTGTTTTAAGCATTTCCGGAAAAGGATACCAGTGTAGACATAGCCGAGGTGTTTAAGTCTTGGCTTGACAAAGCCCTGGCTGGGTTAATTTAGTCGGGATTGGTCCTACCTAGAACAGGGGGCTGGACTTGGTAACCTTTTGAGGTCTCTTCCTGCTCTATGTTTTTATGATAATAGCCATCAGCCTGCTCCTTTCCCTTTGTTCCATTTGACCAAATGGTATTTGACTGCCTGAAGGGAAAATAAGATTCTGGAAGACTTTACCTCTTTTATCAGGCTCCTCTGTCCCACCTATATGATGAAAAAGAAAGAGAACATGTCTCATTGGTTAAACAGAAGTGTTTGTCATCCATCTTCATGCCCACACAAGTACACTCTCCCAAGGTTACTGATCTTGAACCCACTCAAGAGATTAGTGCCAATTTCCAATCTGACAGTCTTCTGAAGGCCATTGTAAAAGATTCCCAAAGTGATTTGCTTTCTAACTTTAAAATACCTTGTGACTGCAACAGAGGAAATCCTGAGCATTACAGAGCTTGAGAGTTCCCACGCATTATTGGTTTCTGGGCACATTCCATGACATAAATAACAAAGATTATTAGAAGAAAATATATTGTTCCCATATTTCTAAGATTAAGAAATATGTGTCATAGCTCTTTAGACACATGTATAAAAGTGAGACTAAGGGGGATTTGATAGTGGTCTATACAATCACCCAGGGGCATAATGATCTTGTGCAAAATGGTTTTTTGTGCAAAAACAGACACATTCACAACAAAAATGGATCAGAATAGATTATGCAAATGAAGCATGAGAAAATGCTAAGCAATGCTTCATTTGCATTGCCTCTTCTGGAAAAACCAGTAGTGTAGATGTAGCCTTACTGCCAGAGGCTCCAAACACACACCCTTCCTTGTATGTCGAATCTTATTCTGTGCAGCTCCAGTTAGCAGTAAGGGTGCAACTGCACATCTGTTTGTGGGGTCAGTCACTAGGATGTGTCTACACTGTAAGTTTATTTTGGAAAAAGGTATTCTGGAAGATAACTTCAGGAATAGCTTAGAATCATAGAACCATAGAGCTGGAAAAGACCCAGGTCATCAAGTCCAGCCCCCTGCTCTAGCTTATTTCAAAATACAGCATCCATGCTACAGGGAAGCCTCAAAATTAGTCCGAGGCAGACTCCCCTAATAATAGATTCACTACATTGATTTAGAACCCCAGGAAGCAGTGGGAAATAATAATTTAGAATGTCCTAGTGAGGAGCCATTTCAACATAGCAGGAATAGAGCGTCCACACGCATCTTCTTCTGAAAGAGCTTTTTTGGAAGAGGTGTTATTCCTCAAGGAATGAGGTTTTCTAACATCAGCCAGCTGTTATTCTGATTTTCTTTCAAAATAACACAATTGCTGTGTGGACACTAGTATTGTTTTTCTGGAATAATGGCCATTATTCTGGGAAAATGGTGCAGTGAAGATGCATCCTAGGATATTTCAAAATCAAGATGCCTCCAGTATTTTTCTAAGGACAGTAAGATAGGTTCAGTTTTGAAAAATACAATTAATACATCTATATGGTATACATCTTCCGCATTTCCATGAAATTGCTTCAGTATCCAGATAAACTTACTTAATCCTTCTATCAATGATTCTAATGGAAAGAGAGAGAAAATAATTTAAACAGATATATCTTGTTTATACAAAACTATATTCTCTAAATCTAGTTAGCTATATTAATTAAACAATCACATAAATTAGAAGGTATAAAACAAACATAAACATCTAAACAGTTTCTACTTTTCATCTTAGCTGAACCAGGAATAGAACCTAATTCTGCTGATTGGAGCTTCTCTCAAACCTTCTTTTCAATTCATAAACACATTAACTGTAACTGTAATCCTGTCCCTTGTGTCGACTATCCCAGCCAATATGTTTTTATTCTCCTGAGAATGATATGTGAATGAAGAATGTTCATAGAAAGTGATCTCACCAGGTATATCTACACTGCACTGTTATTTCAGAATAATTGATGTTATTTTGAAATAACAAAGTATCTACACACAAGAAATTATTTTGACATAACGTTGAAATAATGTCAAGCCAGAGGACTTCTTAGTCCGACTCCTACAACCCTCCTTTTAAGAGGCGTAAGTGAAGTTGGAGGAAGAGTGTTCAATTTCAAAATAAGTGTTGTGTAGATCTGCCAAAATTCAAAATAAGCTATTTTGACTTAAGCTATGCAATTATCTCAAGTTGCATAGGTTTCTTTGATTTTGGCCCTGCTGTGTAGAGTAACCACCACAACCTCTTCCCCAGGCTGGAACCAGAAGAAATGCCCCACAGCCCAGTGGGGCACTCAGGCAATCTTCCTGCCAGTCATGCCCCCAGCTACACCACTCCTGAAAGTGCCAAGGCTAGATTCTTCTAGCAAACATGTCTTGGCATACCCGTTGGAGGAGGGGGCACATTACCCCCATCTCCCGCACACCATCATGATAGCACTTATTGAGTGGAAACTAACCAAGGGGAACTGCAGGGGTGGTGCCTGCAGGTGTGGGCAGCATGTGGAAACCTGATGCCCCCTCCCTTTAAGTGGCAGGCAGAGACATGTTTGCCCCAGTAGTGTAGAAGCTGTCAGCTTTGAGAAGCATGAAGCTATTATGGCATGCATGCATCCTGCCTGCCTGAGTGTTCTACTGTACTACCGTCTGGGACCCTACTATGGAAAACTCTTCCCAGACATTACCAGAGTGACCTAGACATATTAGAGGATTGGGCCAAAAGAAATCTGATGAGGTTCAACAAGACAGAAGACAGAAGACTCCCAAGCATTGTTACAGGCTGGCTAAGTAGCAGTTCTGTAGAAAAGGCCCTGGGGATTTGTAGCCAGACACAAACCCCATCTTGTTCTCCCCCCGCCCCCTCCCCCCAGAGAGCAAGAGAAAGGCAGTCAGCCTTTGATGCCCTGGGAACGCAGGTGTGCTGCCTGTCCCTGACTCTACCATAAACAGAAACCAGACAGTAAATGGGCTAGCTGACGACCCAGGGCCTCCCATCGCCCTGATGGCTAGTACCAGTAATTGACATGCCTGCACTATCCCAGGAGAGGAATCTTCGCCCATCACATACCAGAGGTGCCCATTGTCTGCATTTTCCCAGGTGTGAATTATGCTTTGCACCCTTCGTGGGAAACTTGGTGTTCAAAGCCATTTTTCCTAATTGGCCACTTGAGACCAGGAAGAAGCCTACGTGACCCAAGGGGTATAAAGAGGGGTTTAGTAGCCCACCCCATTTGAGCTCCAATCACCTACACCTGCTGGCAGGTATTGATTGTCTCC